CTTGGCTACGCTCACGCCAAATTTTATACCGATAGGATCAGCCGTTTAGAAATGCCAGATTTATTTCCAAAAAATTTCGATTCTGCCCCACTGTGCATTCTTACTGGGTTTTATTATGCATCGTTTAAGAGGTATTCCTGTGTGAATATTTCACTCTAATGATTCTAGAAGTTTAAAAGTTACAGTGTTATTTCCCTCTTTCCCTAATAATGTACTACTGTGTGGTGTCATTAATAAAATTTCTTTCGTGGTATTCTGGGTGCAAGGAACGTTGTCTTGGCCTATTGATTATCCTAGCAATTTAGTTTCTTGTCCAGAAAGGCGTCAGATACTATCTATAGATTGCCAGACATTCTACCGTAGGACTGCAATAGTTAGAGATTAGATATGTCGAGTAATTGAGCAACACACATGGCGATATTTGCAAGTCACAAAGGATCTTTGGTGAGTAGTTTCCAGCTCATCCTGGGCAGTCATTTGAAGCATTCTGGGTATAATTAATACACACCTTCCAGCAAAAACTTGCATTGAAAAGTTATGTATTAAAAAGCTAAGAAACAGCTTTTACATTTAACTCATTTTAACACCGTGATGACATTGAAAGCAAAGGATCTTTGTGAGTAGTTTCCAGCTCATCCTGGGCAGTCACATAAAGCATTTTGGGTATAATTAATACACACCTTCCAGCTAAAACTTGCATGAAAAAGTTATGTATTAAAAAGCTAAGAAACATCTTTTACATTCTTATTCATAAGCATTTTAACTCATTTTAACACGGTGATGACATTGAAAGCAAGTGCTTACCACGCTCGCTTACAAGTAACTACTTTAATAAGTACTTACAAATAAGGAGTTAAAAAGACGATTTGTTTTAAAAACAAAAAAATTGCTCACACAGAATACGAACATGGGCTTCTTTTTCGTTAATTCGCAGTCAACATGATTATTTGCACATAAGTCATTATAACAGTACTTAAAAGGAATGCAGACGGTAAGCAGTAGTTCTTGAAAAGAAAGTGGTTATGTAAGTACAAGTCATTACCGAGTTTTTGTTGGGATGTTAGGGTATGAGTTACATTGCATCTAAATGCAATTAAAGCAATTTTGTTTAGATTTCTCGTCGTGTTTGTGTGAAAAGACAATTAACAATCGTGTCCTAAGACCAATTTTCAAAGATATTCGGCTGAAAATGGTACTTTTTCGATTGCGAGCAACGCAAATAAAATAAGCCCTTTTCTCCTGAACACTTTTTACTTGAAAAATCTCTGTGAAAAATTGAAAAATAAACAAAATCACAAGCTGTCAGTGTTATATCCTAACACGACTTTTTTTCATGTGTATGTATGTATCTAACATATCTTGTTTAAAGAAATCTGCATCACCTTTTAATCAAGATATGAGTAACATTTCATATTTATAGGACTTTTAGCAAATTAACAACTGCATAGCTCATACATTTAATATTTATTTTAGCACAAATTTTTCTCTTTTGCAATTTTGTTGACTTTGTCATAAACCTTTTCATTCGTTTGATTTTTAAAATGCAGATAATAAAGCCCTCTTTCATTAGCTGTCATATTGCCCGTTTTGTTTTTAATATGCCATTTCTTTTTATCATTTCATATAAATCTTTTTGACAGATTTTCCTCAGGTTTTATATTCGAATATTTTTTATATTTATTTAAGTCTTTTTGAATTTGTATATGAATGAATAAAAGGACGAATGAGTGAATGAATGAATTATTATCTGTTTGTTGGCATCTTTATTTGCAAAAGAAAAATATATTTACTTAACATTTTTCTAAATAAACATTTATTTTTTTGCATTCATAGGACAAGTATGGCAAGTACCACCGCAGCAATGAATGCGATGTCAAGTAGAATGTTTATTAGGAGAATTACTATGGCACTAATACAAGCAAGAAGCGTAGTAGATATCGCGGATCCTGGATACCTTTTGGAGATAAGTACATCGTTAGTGCAATGCGAAACTAATATTCATGTGAACTTAACTAAAATTATATAAAATATGTATAATAAAATCTATTGTTTAAACGATCAAAAGATATGCTTAAAAAAACATTTCCAGGAAATCGTATATCCTTTATAAGAAACATACACCCTTTAAAACAGGACCAACAAAATTACTATAGTTTTAGCTTCACTTTTTTTTGATTTTAACGAGTATAAGAGCTTTAAAACTTTATTATAATCAGTGATAAAAAAAATCATGAAAAACTATAGTCTGTAGAAAATAATGAAGGCACACAAAGTCGTTTCAAATGCTTCTGTGTGCGAACAATAAAAATATCCTGTCTTCAAATCCTTTTAGAAAAAATCTCTGCATGTTCTTTTATACGACTTATAAGATGTATGAGTACCATCATAAAAACAATAATGATTGACATGAAAGACAACACAAGATAAGGATGTTTATGAGTCTGAATATACAACATACATATTGTAGTTTTTTAAGATTTTGTTGAAAAATACGTTGATTATCAATGTGAGAAATATTGGTTAAAAAAAATAATAAAAAGCTTTAGTTAAAAAAATCTACTTACTAAAAGACAATAGATTGTTGTATTGAATGCTTGAATGAATATTGTAGACATACCTGAAAAAAAAGAATAGAATATAAGACAAAAAATCAGTAAAAAGAACAATAGCAAGGTTGGTGAAATTAATAAGAAAAATATATACTACATACATAATTAAATTTATAAAAATTTTGTTTTTTTATGGTAAAAACGAGACGATATTAAAATTACATTAATAGTTATACTGAGAAAATATTTACATAATTTTATACCAAATAGAGCAAGTCTTAAAGCTCTTTTATACGTTAAAAAAGTATAGTTTTCAGGAACAAAAAATTGTTTAATTCGTGAAATACCCAGCAAAAACTTACATTGAAAATTAATGTTACACAATAGCATTTTAAGTTATTATTTTAACACGGGGATGACATGGGATACAAGTACTTACCACGCTTGCTAACAAATAGGGAGTTATGTAAGTACTTACTACGATAGCCTGCGTCTACTATTAGGTTTAAAAAAATTATTGTTTGTGTTAAAAACAAAGTTCGAAAACAACATGTCAAGACAAAAAAGTAAGTAATTACACAATATATTATTTGTAAGTCATTACTAGACTCCTTCGTAATAATTCAGAAGGTCGTAATAATTCATGAAATGCAGCGCACAATTGGTCAGTAGCATTTGGAAGATTGTTGGATGATTAATCAGTAAACTGAATGATTAATCAGTAAACTGAATTTTTGACTTCTTTTGATGACCTAAACGTGATTAATAAGTTGAGCGCTTAAAAAATGATTCGAAAATTATCCCAATATATGATTGAAAACTGATAACAATAACAAAATCTATAGCAATCATAAATTGATCATCCTGGTGTTTAAAATATGATGGTTTTAAAAACTTATTTTGTAATCATATTTTGAGCAGTTGGAAGATCAAAAATTGTTTCTTATGTAATTGTTTTTGTTGGCAATGGAATAGCAACACTTCCACTTAAAAATGACTCAAAAACGATTCAATAATAAGTCGAAACTGATAGAAAATGGGCTCAGAAAAGACTTCTTTAGAAGAGTTGGCAGCAAATTTTGTGTGGCCTAGAATAAGTTGATATAATTCTCATTTCGTTTATAAAATTAAATGTATAAGTATTTCAATTTGTGTGATATTTATAAAGTCGATTTTCTGTCAAGGAAAAGACTCAAAAATGACTATAATATGATTCGAAAATAATTCTAAAACGACCAGTAAGTCGGCTCATTAATGCCTTAAAAAAGATTAAAAAATGAGTCAGAACTGATCAGAAGTGGGGCTCATAAAAGACTTAGAAGAGTCGCGGGTAGGGTACCATTTTCTCCCGACGAATGTATCATTTATGATCAGAAAATGAGCGCATATATGATCATTTTAATCGTTCAGAAGAGTCATAAATGCCTCGAATGTGATCAAAATTTTAAAAAATGCTAGCTGGGGGTATTCTTTTTTCGGATATTATGTAATATAAATCTAAAACTAATGTAAAAAATGGTGAGTGTACTAATCATAAAAGATTTTTTCCTAATATTGCACCCTGTAGTAGGCAATTAATTTTAGATGTTAAAGAAAAAATATACAATTACAAAATGTCTTCAAATAATTTCATGAAATCGACGTGACCACTAAAAAACGACTTAAGTAGGATATAGTAAGTGTACTAATCTTAGAAGATTTTTTTCAATGTTGCAACCTGTTGTAGACAATGAATTTTAGATGCTATACGAAAAATTATATAATTAGAAAAAAATCTTTAAGAATTTTTTATGTTACTTTAAAAAACGACATTATTATTTCCTTTTAAATATATATTTTATTAATAGTATACATTTGAAGTTATCGGTTTAGAAGGACGACAACTTTTACAAAAAATATTGGTTACGTCTTTTTCGCCAAATATTTGTTAGGTGTGAACGTATCAATTTCAATTATTTAGTTATAAAATTAAATTAAATTTAAAAAATTTCCTATATCCGCTAAATATTTAAAATTTAAGTTCAAAACATTGTTAAAATTCCTACAAAATTACATCTAAAGCTTTCGTGTTATCTACTGTGAAGTTTTTGTATGTTATTTTCCTGCTTTGTATTTCATTGCGCTTTTATATCAAATTAGTTACAGAATATAACTTTTGATAGGAGGCGGTGTGTGTGTGTGCGACTATAGATGGATGAATGGACGGATGAGTGAGTGAGCGACAGCTAAGGAAAAGTTTGTCTTTTTTCTATGTTGATAATACTCATAGAAATGGCTAAAATTATTCATGGAATAATTTAACAAAAAGCGAAATATAATTTAAATAAATCGAGTTGTTTGATAAGGCAACAGCAGAATAGACACGACAAACTAGTATTTCTAAAGCAATTATATAGATTTAATGGAAAATTCTACATAGTCAGGGGAAAAGAATGTAAATAAATACAGTTACAATGTTAAATTTTTATTATTTAGGAAAAACTTAAAGGCCTTATATCGTTAAGTAAATTTCTAACAAAATTTATTAATTTGGCATTTTTACATCTCAGTTCATTGGCTGCTGGATACATGGAATTTATCAAATGATGTAAATCACTATAAGCCTGTTGTATAAATGTTTTTTAGAAATCTTTAGCTTAGTTTTATAGTTAACATTAGCTTACATTAATATTTCGCCATGTCAAGTTATAATTCAATTCTATAAGATCTGCATTATCGGAACATAATTCGGAAATGTGCACAAAATATGCCTCTTCCGGGGTAATGCGTACTTCTACGATATTTTCATCAGTATCTTGATATTGTAAAAATTTTAAAGTAATATCACGTCTTTGAGCCAAACGATTCCAAGTGGAATGAGAAAATTTTATTTGACTACTATTAACAACCATACAATTGTAACAGTGTAATTCAGTGGATAAATGTTTTTCGGAAAAGTAACCTAGATTTTTGTAGGTAAATTAATCAAAGTTTTTTAATATGAGTTAATTTTTTAGCTAACCATTTTCTATATAAAAACAGGCATCTTTATCGGCAAATATATTAAGATGTTTTTCTTGAAACATTTTCTTGAATTGTTTGAAATCCGCTATGGGTTCATCAATGACTAAATACATTTTAGGATTTCTTATAAATTTTGTAGTGGGTTCGGTAACATGGCCCTTAATTCCTTTATCGCTTATATTCAAAATACATCGAACATATTGTGTGTCTAACGTAAAGATTATTTCATTTTCTGGGCTACAAGGAAGTGAGAGAAGGTCTTTAAAATAGATTGTTTTTTTTTTAAAAAGTAAAATTTTCTTACTCATTTGGATTGGGTTCTAATTTCCAAAATTTGAAGGGAAAATGTTCATAACGTTTAAATGCAAAACCAAAGTTACCTTAAATTAAATTTTAATGGTTCAGAAGTGGAGAAATTTAAACAGATGAAAATTCATAGGGCTTAACACTATAGTTTCAGCTCTATATAACTTATACTTGACGATTTAATGTAACCATTTATCAAAGCTTAATTTGTCTTATAAACCTTTGATAAATTGTTATGAATAAGGCCATTAGTCAATAAAAAAGCTTTTAATACTTTTAAGTAAAATCTTTTTTCATAAAATTTTTCCAAAAAAAAGTTTTTTATGGAAAAAGCTTTCCCAAAATCCGAAATCTGCCTCCTGAAGAAGTTATAAAGAAGTATGTATATCTTTCTAAAAAATATTTTCAGGGTTAACAAATTTCAAGCAGTAATTGTTGATATAATGCCCCATTTAGAACGTCTACTTGAGATCTTACCCAATCTATTAGTTTGTATCACAACTGTACGTTTCTCTCTATTATATTCCGATTTCAGTATGTGTTCGGTGGTCCAGTGAGAATAAGTATATGTTTCGAAATCTTTTGTTTTATCTTTTATATCATTCATTTCTTTAGTTTCATCCATTTCCGAACTTGAGTCATGCAAAGTAGTTGCTGCCATAATAGTTTTGGAAGGTTGATCTAAAATGTGTTTAGAACCGAGCGATTTCTTTTGTAAACTAGTTGCATGAGCAGAACGTAAAGAAGTCACAGAAATTATGGGTTTTAATTTTCGATTTCTCATATCTTTGCGACGTTTGTTGAAGATGGAAAATTTAGTTTTGAAAGGTTTAAGATCCATAATTTTACGTATTCTTATTTTATACTGCCATTTAATAAAATTAATTAGTTGTACCAAGTGGGCAAAGGTTATAGGTTCTTTAAGTGTATCATCAGTTGCTTTTTCTTTGTTAATATCATGTTGTAGTATGCGTATGGGTTCAACTGGTGGAAAGAGAGCAATTATTCTTTCTGGATTGTTTTGCATTTTGCCATATGTAAATATATGCTGATTTTCCTTGCTGGTTTCCTTGCTTGAATATGTATGTTTTCGCTTTAAAGGTCCTGCTTTAGATTTAAATTTCTGCTGAATGGCTTTTAATTCATCTTCTTGTATTTCTTTGGGAAATTTAAATGATGATATAATTCTTGGTATTACATGTCTTTGTATATGCCTTATTTGGGCTTTATTTAGCTGACAGTTAATGGGAAAATCCTCAATATTTAAAATGCCGTTCTCATCACGAGAATAAGTTTGACTGCAACCATTTTTACCAGTTAAGCGCACATTCGAAAGTGAGGTTCTAAAAAAGCTTTCCTGCGAAAGTTGCCTTAACTTCAATATAGAATTGGTTAGGCCCTCCTTTTGGGGTGTTAAAAAGGATAAATATTTGTCCATGGTACTACTAGCCAAATCCAAAGTTTGTTCAGTTGGCATTAGTATGACAGAAGATTTATTTGTTACTTTTGGTATAAAAGTAGTGGGCTTGTTTTTTGTGACTGTTTCATATTGACACACTATAGGTTCACCCCAGTAGCAAAGCTGTTCCGGCAATTGTATGCTTAAAATGAACCAGGGACATTGAGGATCGGAGTCTTTAAACTCTTCTATTTTCAAAGAGAGATTTCTTCCTGCTAAACTTTTGAAAACTTTAGAGGATCTTTGGTATGGTTTTGAGTTTAAGGATATATAAACATTTTCATCTATAATTAGGTTTGAGTTATTATAATGCCAAGTCATATTAAAACTACTGAAATCATTATGTTGAGGCTTATATACTCGATATAGTTGATATATGCCACCCAAAATGAAATATTTTCTTAAATTTATCTGAAGAATTTAAAAATTAATAATTGGTAAAAAAAACTCCTAATAAACGAAATACCTCATCAGTACTTAAATCCAAGGACTTGGGATTATATAACCTATTAATAAAATCTTCATAGTGTTTTTGTTCTTCTAGTAAAAATTCTTCCCTTATATCAGGAAACATATCCTCTTCTATATTTGGAGGTTCATAAGAAGGTTTTGTTAACTTCGTTTTTTTACTTTTAGACCCTCCTTTTTTCTTTCCATCTTTATCTTTAGTTTTAGTTTTATTCTTTTTCTCTTCCTGTTCTTCATAAAGTCTTAGTTTTTCTTCACAATTTTGACGTTTTTCTATTAAATAATTCCGGACTCGATTTTGCATTTCTAATTGCATTAGCCACTCAGTAGCCATACAATCAGTTAAATCCTGAATAACGACATTATCAGTATTTAAAGTTGTAGCGATGTTTTGAAAAAAACTATTAGCATTTTCACTTATGACATCAAAATTCAGATGTAGTGCCCGTATAGTAAAATTTTCTTGCATTATGTTTGTGGGTATATGAAGTGTTAATAGTACTCCATGTAATTTCGCAATTAAACGAGGAACTCTGTAAGTTTTCCTCAATAAGAAAAACATTTTTCAAAACTTTAAAGATAACTTACTCAAGTTGTTTAAAACTTATAGGTACATTTTTCAATGACCAAATATGCATTTGAAAGTTGTCTGCCTTAAAAATATATTCTGATGTAATAGGGTCTATTGAACTAAGAACGAAACAAACAATGATGTAATAGCAATCGGCTGAAAATAAGTTCATCATACTACCTCATATAGGCTTCTTCTGAGCACAGTATCCGAAAGGTGAAACGATTTAAAAACTCACCAATTTCTTGTTGTAAATTACTTCTTAACTGCTTTATATCTTCCAATTTATTCATATCACATTTAGCTACTTCAGTTTTATTATGCAAAAAATCCTCTATGCTTTTTAAAATTTCAAGACAAATTTCTATATTTCTATTATATTCCTCTGCAAAATTCAATTGATTTCTCTCTTTTAAAGCAGTATGTGTTAAATTTGTACGCATGTGATTTTGTGTCAAAATACTACGTTCATCAATCGATAATAGCCAATCTATAGTTTTTTCTTGGGAGATATTTTCAAAATATTTCAATTTTTCCATACATAAACGTATTTCAGGAGGTATATAGGCTTTAGGTAAAGGACAACAATTCACATAATCTTGCCATTTTTTGGAGATCAATTGTTGGTTATTAATTTGTTCAACTAAGGCAGAGGATGCTGTGGAGAATAGTTGTATCAAAATTTTGTAGTCTACATTATTTTTAGAAAGATTTACCTTTTACGTAGTTTAAACAATGTTTTAAATTTTCTATATGATTTGCATACTTATGTTCCTTGGCCTCCACTTCCTCCCATGTTAAGAATTTATACAGCTTTTGTGTAGTAACTTTTTCATTTATAATTTTAGATTTTTTTGGTGGCATTGAGAAACAAATTTTTTGGAGCAAAATATGAGTAAAATTTTTAAACAAAAGTTGAAAATGAATTGTTAAAAAACATAAAGAAATTTTTTTTAGTAAATACATTTTGACAAAAAGGACTAAGGGCCGTATTTAGTATGAGTGATTTTAGGGCCTTCTTACAGAACGGAATCGGCCAGTTGTGTATTTAATAGGGTGATCAATTATTCGACATTTTCCAAAAACCGGTTTTCGAATAGTTCGAATAGAAGACATTTAAAAAAAACCGGTTGATATTTTTCAAATTCAGAAAAAACCGGTTAACCGGTTTTTCATTATAAATAAAAAAATATATTTTAATTTGAAAAACTTAATGTGATTAATGTCAAATGATTTTTAACAGTTTAAAAGATTATCCCCCTTATTCACAAACAAAATTTCTATTTTATAAACAGTTTAAAAATAAGATTTTATATGGAAATTTTGTTTTATAAACCTTTTATAAAATAAAAATGTTGTTTGTGAATAATTTACATTATTTCATTAATATAAAAAAATTAGGAAAAAAGTGGGACACTTCTGTTAAACATAAGGTACTATGTAATCCCAGCTTATTTTAAAAGCCCTGTTTAGGAAATTTGCATAGGCATTCCAACACTTCCATAAAATTTCAGCCGTAAATTAATTATTGTAATTGGAATATAATCTTAAGATTGATAAAATTTTATCAAACAGTTATCAATTTTACAAATATTTTTTTTTTTTTTCATTAATTAGGAAAATCAAAAAAGTTTAACCAAAGGAGCTGTAGAAAAATATACGCTAGTTCCTCGACTCGAATATTTTTAAAATTTAGACGGGCTGTATTATTATTTACTTAAAAATTATATTTAAATAATCTTTGAATACAAAGCAAATGAAAGTATTCGAAACCGGTTTTTAAAAAGTGAAAAAACCGGGTTATTCGATATTCGAAAAATCAACATTGAGAAAAAACCGACACTGGTAAAGCAGAAAAAACCGGTTTTAAAACCGGTTGAAAAATCGAGTCGATCACCCTAGTATTTAACCAGTTATGGTTTACCATACATTAATCAATAGATTACTCCATAGATTATATAAATTACTCCAACAACAAAACAATATATTAGTGAGTAGAGATTAGTGAAGAAGAGTGAATATTAGTTCCTTGACTTTTTTTGTAGATAGACCATAGATTCAAAAATATCATTTTGTTGTCACGTTTGTTGCATAAGAAACCAAAAAAATATTAAAAGAAAATATCAAAACAAACAAGTAGGAAAGTATAGTCGGGCATGGTCGACTATATGATATCCTGTACCATGAGTAAGTATATTTTAAAAATTATTAATTTTTCATAAAAAAAATTTTTATGTAGAATTTTACCTTAATTCCGTTGTATTTAAGCAATTTATTGATGAAAAACTAAATTTCTAAAAGAGGCTATATATGGAAGTTAGGGTCAAATATGGGCCGATCCTCAACAAATTAGGTGTAGGGATGTATTTTTATATAAAGGTTAGTTATGCTGAATTTCATCGCTATACTAATGGTTATAAGTCAATTTCTGGACGTTTAAGTTATTTTTAGAGGGGGTTTGTATGGGGGATAGGGTCAAACGACGGCCGATTTTCATTAATAATCGGTATGGTCATTTATGCCTATATAAAACTTATATGTGCCAATTTTTGGAGAGATAGTAGTATATTTGATGTAGTTATGAGTTAAAAACCCCACCGATTTTAACCATTTTCAATATACATCGTCCTTGTGCCGAAAAACATGTATGGTCCAAATTTCATTAAAATATCTTGTGGTCTGTAGTTTGAGCACAAGGTTTACATTGACAACCAGCCGGACAGACGGACGGATCGACTCAGAAAGTGATTCTGATTCGATCGGTATACTTTAAGGTGGGTGTAGGACCAATATTTTTGTACGTTAAAAATATCAGCACAAACGTATAATACCAAAATAGAAAAGTAGGTTATAAATAAGTCATTTAAACATTTAATTGTATCAATTAAAAATTTTATAAAATTTGTACATAGATTTTAAACAACCAGTTAATTAATTTAAATAGCAAATTGTTGAAATAAAAGTTGGAACCAGGTGACATGAAGTTTAATTTTTAACAGATTATTCTGAGGAAAAGAAAATTCTCCTAGTTAATTGTTTAAGCTATTATATGCTTTTATATCCCTTAAAACAATGCCTACTCATTTTTCTTTCAATTGGTACACAATTAGAATCTTAAATCTATAAATGTGTAGGCTGCTGTAGTACAGACAGATGTTTAAGTAATGCCCAAAGACATTCCTTATTATACGATGCCACGCGGAGGCATAAAAAAAATATTTGTTGATAAAACAATCAAACAAACACTTAGTAACATACTCAAGTACTTATATACTTGTGATTGAAAAGGGAAAAATATTACTTATCTTTAAACATTAATCTTTAATTTTTGGTTTCTTTTTTTTTCAATTATGACTACGAAATTTATTTATTTAACCACAAAAAAAACACTAAAATTAAACATGCATTAAAATAATTATAGATGCTTTATCTACTGCTATTTCAAACATATAGATACTCACAAGAATATGTAGAACGCGGCGTAAATATTAAAGAACACTTAAGGTCTGGCTAATGTTGCAAGCAACCATCACCAACCAACCAACCAACCAACCATTTCTATCATCAAATGTAGACACATAATGATAATGTCTGGCAGATAGACACTAGCAAAGTAAACAATATGACACAGTAACTAAAATTTAATTGTTGTTTATTCATAAATATAATTTGAATATGAATAGTGAAGTGTAAATACAACAAAATACATTATTTTTTATTATTTACAGAAAAGAAAACACAACGTTTATTTACAATTAACAACAAAAACAAATCTTATCACTAAAAATAAATCAATAAGTAGGGCTTTAAATGCACAATGCTTGTGAGTTTTTGAAATAAAGAATAATTTATACATATGAAAGTTTCACAGGCAAGCAGACAGTCAGTTAGTCAGTTGCTAGTTGAACCAATAATTGACTGACTGTCATTAGTGTCGGGGTTGTAATATATGAATGACTCTTTGATATTTACTAAATGATAACCTTCTTGTCCTCCTTCTCCTTGGTAGTTTTTTTCCCTATTTTGTTTTATTTTCCATTATCAACAATATTTAATTATAAGTTGTGATGTTTATAAACCACATTATTGTGCGTTTAATTTTTAAAAGAAAATGTATGTTTTATTTAAATACAAACATTTTGTTAATTTCTGTTTTTTTGTTTTCAGTTTCAAAGAAAATTCTTAAATTACATACATTTAAAGGTTTCTCTTTGTAATGAAGCTAAAAATATGTTTTCTTGTATTCCTACACTCTAGAATAAAAGTAGGCGTTTTTATGTAATTAAAAGAGAAAATAAAAAAAACGTATAGAATTTTTTCTTTAAGTTTTTTTACTTTACAACATGTTTGTTGGTCTAAATTGTGTAGGGGTATAGCTATACTTACAGGTCTTACAAGGAGTTCATTTAAAATAAAAGTTAATGAATATTTAAAATCATTATTTAAATTTCAGTCAATAAAATCTAGATTTTTTTTGAAGAGTTAGGAATATTTGGGTGTTTAAGATGTATTTAACAAGACCATTTAGTAATGTTAATTTTAAATAAAATATTTAACACTGTTTCGCCTACTAAAGCACTACGCCCACCTATTTGAGGCTGATGTTAGAGTTTGCGTAATAGGCAATCGAGATATTCCAATACTACGAAATGTCTGACTGAATTAGTATTGAAATAGGTTAATAAGGCACCAGAATGGAACAACATAGCCTACGAGGTGTGCAGCTTACTTACTGACACTAATCGGAAACTTCTGAGATAATGGTGAACTAAACTTCTAAATGATTATTCTCAACATCCTCAAAAAGTGAAACCTTACGGAATGCCTGGGATGGAGAGGAATAAAAATACTGAGCGAAAGATCGTAGTAAGTAGCATTAATTGCTCAAGCTATTCATCAGGCTGGTTTCCGCCCGTAAAAGTACTGAATTGATCATATGTACCAATACCTTGAAAATGTCTACCGAATAGCAATCACCCCTGAATATGGTAGAAGAAGACGGCGCTATCTGGACTGATTTTGTATATAAAGGAATACCACCAAACTTTTGGGGACAAAATTGACGGAATGGCTGTAGGGGGCGTGGCACCTCCCATATAAAGAAAATATTAAATCAGTATATCTGAGAAAATATAACAGTTATAATCCTAACGGCAATGTGGCAATGACAATCATTGCGATTGTTTTAGACAAAATGGGCGGACTAAAAATAGGGGGCGGGGCACCCCCTCATGAATACAAAAATTCGTATATCTGGGAAACCATCAGAGGTAGAATTCTCAAAATTTTCACGGGCAATATTAAAAGCCATATGATCAATTTGGGGACTAATGGCCGGAATAGCAATAGGGGGCGTGGCACCACCCATATTAATAAAAGACTAAATTATTATATCTGGGAACCTATTGGAGCTAGAATACCCAAATTTTGCGCTATTAACTTTGACATCCATGTTAACATTCCCATATTAATAAAAGACAAAAATTATTATATCTGGGAACCTATTATAGCTAGAATTCCCAAATTTTGCACTATTAACTTTGACATCCATGTTAACATTTAGGTGTTAAATTGGCAGACTAGCAATAGGGGGCGTGGTACCTCCCATATGAATTAAATACAAAAATTTGCATATCTGGGAAACCATTACAGCTAAAATCTTTAAAAATCATAAAGTGGGTTTTTTTGTTTATATTGTTTTTAGGGTAGCAAAGCACCCTAATAATCTATAACTGATATTGCGGAAAAACAGCGGTGAAAACATTTTGAAAGCTGAGAACAGAAGATAATGGACCTTATTACAAAACATCAAGAAAGAATTCATACTTTTAATTCTTCTTATATAAACGTATGTATACCTTTAAGGTATGTACATTAAAGAAACCATTAAAGTTTTTTTCCCACTCGGTCAACATTTTTGTTTTGTTTGACGTAGGGAGTTTAATGAAA